TTCCTGCTCTCAGCCCTTTGCTTAGAGACCCCAGCCCAGCACCACCCTGCTCTTCCCACCTGCGCCCCTGAGCGTGCTGTGCGGTGCTGGCCCCTGTGGTCTTGGGTCCACGGCCCCGCCCCAGTGCTGCTTCTTGGTCTGCAATGCGCCTCGCCTCGCAGCCAGACTCCAGCTCCCACCCCACCGCCCCCAGGCTGCACTCCTTGTCTTATAGTTTCGTAGAAACTATAGACCCTGTCTATCAGGGTCCGGGGTGGGGTCACATTTGTCTCTGGAACTCACTGGGCCCTGCTCATAGTAAATGTCCTGGAGCCAAGTGACCACAGATGACACGTGCCCTTCTCGAACCAGGTGTGTGTAGATTGCACGCCCCATGCCCTGGCTTCTCAGAGACCTTGTTATCCACCCATTGGCTCAACAGCCAGGCCCACGGTCACACAGTGGTGAACACATAGGCCCGATCTCTGCCCTGACAGAGGGACACTTTTGTAGCTCTCCCTAGGGTCCTTGGGAAGCCCATCATGAGAGGCAGAGGGGAGGTCCAAGAGGGATGGAGTCCCCAGGGGCCCTGTCCACTTGGGGGATGTCTGACAGGGTCACAGAGCCCTGCCACTGACAGGCCACATGCCCCTCATTCCTGGACCCTGGGCAGGGAGCACCGGGATGGTGACCCCCAGGAGGAAGTGAGGGGCAGGGCGGGGGTGGCCGAGCCCAGGGGCCCTCGGGGAGGGGGCGGGGGCTGGGCTCACAGTCCGCTGGCAGGTAGAAGACCAGGTTGATCATGAAGGAGATGAGCACGCAGGGCACCAGGATGTTGATGACATAGAATAGTGGCTTGCGGCGGATGATGAGGTAGAAGGTGACGTCCTGGCGGCTGGGACTGCCCAGTGAGGCACTGGGGTCCACGTTGATCCTGGCCGGCCGATGCACTATCTCCCACTCCCCGTTCTCTGAGGGTGGCACATGGATGCCTTGGGGTCAGGCCGGGCAAGGGGGCCGGGGGTCGGGGGCGGGCCTTGGGGCAGGTCGGGGGGGGGTTGTGGGGGGCGCTGGGTGGAGTGAGGCAGCCCAGAGCTGCAGCCAGGCCTGTTGGCAGGGGCCTGAGGGGCTTGGAAGCGGGGTGGGGGCACGGACGAGGGTTCACACTCTGTTTCTGTGTATCTTTCCCTGGGGTTTGGGATGGAAGTTTCACTCTACAAGGGGGAAGTTTTCCTCTGGGACTGATTTTTTTTTTTCTCCTTGGAAAACATAGAAGCTGAGGCCATATGTGGTTCAAATAAGGAGGCTTGGGGATAACAAGGCAGTGAGAGTAAGAACCCTCCTCCCCATGATGTACCAGCCTTGGGACCAGCGGGATGTGGGTCTCCTCTGACAGACAGGGGCAAGCGGTAGGGCCCAGTAAAAGATCTGAGCCTGGTCACAGAGAGGGGAGGGGGGCGTTGGGAGGGGGCAACATACACACCATCAGGATGACAGCCAAAGCCCCAGCCGTCCCCTGGGCCCTCTGGGGACAGGAAGGCTAACCACCCCCTTCAGCTGTCGGCCACACCATCCCCAGGGACCCTGCTCAGACCGGGAAGGGTCTGGCCTGTGTGTGTCTATCTGCACTTCTGTGTCCCTGTGTGTCCACGTCCTAGGTGTGTGTACGCACGCGTGCATCTCTGGGGTGGGGATGTCAGTGTGACTGTATCCGTCGGGGGCGGGGGGCGGGTTCTGAGGGGCCAGCCCACCCAGCAGCTGCGGTCCAGCACCTGTGAAGCCCTCGGGGTCGATGATGATCCACTCCACAGGGTAGTAGCGGCCGTCTTCTTCATCCTGCCTCAGGCTCAGGGTGATCTCCTTGGCCGTGTACTTGAGTGAACTGGGGAGGGTAGTGGGCAGAGGGTGGTCCTCAGCCGCTGGCTGGTGCCACCGACGGGGGAAAGGCTAGCACAGGAGGTTCACGGGTGGAGGGGGCCACGGTGGGGATGGGAAGCTTGAATCGGGACAGAGCAGGGGCCTCTGCCTGAGCGTGTTTACCTCCCTCAGCCCCTGGCGGGGTGCCCTGGGGGAAGGGGTGGCTGGAGAAGTGGGTGCACCTGAACTTGAGGGAGCAGTTCTGCCAGTCGAAGGGGAAGTAGGTGACGGAGACGGGGCAGGAGGAGCGGAAGATGGCGGGCGGCAGCCAGTACACGTAGCCTGAGGGGTAGATGAGCACGTTGCAGGAGTAGGAAATCTGGAAGGAGCCGTCATTGCTGGGGGACAGGGACAAGGGCCACAGTGAGTGCTGGCCAGCTGGGAGTTGGCCGAGCTGGGGGAGGCAGAGGAGGGCGGGCAGTCAGAAGCTTGGGACTCGACGGGGACACTCAAGGCGAAGGGGGGCAGAGCGGCGGAGGGGAGCCGGGGCGGGGGCTGCGGCTCAACTTATTCTCCAGCACTATCTCTGGGAGCCACACCATGTCAGAGGGCAGGCGCAGGACGCTGATGTTCCCAAAATCTCTGGCCTCCCACTTCAGCCGGCTGTCTGTCCAGCCCTGGAAGCCCAGAAGAAATGTCAGCAGTGGGCTCTGCTCTTGTCCGGGCTCCCCCATTCCCCCCGCTCCCCGAGCAACCGCTTCCCTGGGGGAAGACTGGACAGGGGCTGGGGCTGGGACCAAAGAGGTTGGGTAGCAGACAGTGTCTGCTAATAAAATCAAGATACCATGACAATTTTCCCTAGGTGAAGATCCTAATCCACAGAAGGCTCTATCTGGGCTTGTGGCAGCACCAGCTGATGGGAAGGGCGGTCAGGCCTGGGGTTTGTCTGTAAGCAGGAGCCAGTCCCTCCCGGAGGACAGTGTCTGAGGCAGGTTGGGGATCCCCAAGCAGAGGCGAGCACAGGAAAACCTGGGCCCTGCACCCTCCCCACCCCCAGCTCTGTGCGGGGGTGTTCTCCTTACGTGCTCAATCCACACGTTAGTGGTGAGGGTCTCTTCAACTTCTTTCTGTAATCAAACAGGAGGACTGTCCCCCCGGGGCCTGCACCCTTTCACCAGGCACCTACTACTGGCTGCCACCCAGGGGAAACCACGGCAATGGCCTGCCCCCAGCAGTCAGGAGTGGATGGATAGACCAGGAAGCAGGGTGGGCATATGGCCTCTCACATGTGTCATGGGTGTGAAACGGGGGCACCCAGAACTGAAGCTGGAGGGAAAGGGGCATCCTCAGCCCAAGGCCTGTGGGCAGCACGCAGAGGCACGGAGAGGCCCCGAGCGTGTTTCCCAGGGAGAGGAGCTACCAGAGGCCGGGATGGGGCCTTGACCTTCCTCCACGGCCAACCCAGGCCAGGAGACAGCCAGGCCTCCAGGAAGCCATCCCTGACACCGTTCCCCAGCCCAGCCAGGAGGAGCCACTCACCAGGGAGATGAGGTTGGAGAGGGTGAGGGCCAGGGTGACCTCCACGGTCTCCTCTTTGTGTGCCGCGGGCCGCAGCTCTTTGTTGTAATGCTTCTCCTCAAACAGGTGCCGGATCAGCCGCTCCTCCTCGTTCAGGCCCCAGCTGCCTGGGGAGGGTCGGGGACAGGGGCCCGGGAGGGACGCCGCCCTGAGGTCCTGCTGGGCATGGAGCGGGCCCCAGGGGGGTGGCCCCTCCAGGGAAGAATGGCAGTGGGAAGTGGGGAGGTGGGCCTGACGCTGGGAGAGGGAGCCTCACGTAGGAGGGGACGGGAGGGGAGCATGCCATGGGGGACCTGGGTAGGGGTCCTGGGGGACCCTCCAGGGAGGGGTGATGGCCACTCTTACCACACACGACCAGGGCAGCCAGCAGCCCCAGCGTTAACACGGGCCCCTCCATCCTGTTCCTCTGAGTGGGTCTTGGGTCGGCCCCTCCTGTCAGCAGGGCTGGGGAATGCGGGCGGGTGGCTGAGGGGACAGGTGCAGGGTGGGGTGCCGCGCCAAGGGAAGAGGCCTCCGGAAGCGCAATCTGACACCTCGAGGCTCTGTGGCAGGCTGGAGAAACTGGGGCAGGTGATGCGGGCATGGGGACAGGGACTGGCCAGCTGGGCAAGAGCCCAAGAACACGAGGCGAAGATCCCAGGCTGGGCCTCCCCACCGCTAGTGGTGAGGGTGGGGGTCGGGTGGAGAGGCGGGACATCGGGGGCGGCACTGGTCAGCCATGGACAGCAGGGTGGTGACAGGCGGCGGTACTGCCATTTCTTGGGAGGTAGACCAATATGCTGAGATGGGGGGCTCTGGAGCCCCTCTCCAGTGTCTTTGTGACCTCTATCAACTAACTGCTTCCGGAGGCTGGGCCCTAACCCCAAAGATCCCATGTCCACCCACCCCAGTCCCATCCTAAGAAGGCTCTGGAGTGGTCTCCGTAGATCATAAATAATGTTTATTAAAGCAGTTGTGATCTTCCGATGGTACATCTGGGAAGGTATGTTGGGCCCGGGACCCCTTCCCCTCACGCCCCCGCCCACACCCAACTCTGGCCATGACAGTTTGTCATCATGTTCCCTGGACCCTCTGCAGGCCCTGGGAGCAGTAGTCCTGACCAGGGGCTGCGGGTGGAGACATGGCTCAGGGCCACCTAGCTGGGGGAACCTGAGGGCTGAGTGGGTGGTGCCCCTTCCTCCCCAGCCGTCGGCCCTGCCTTGAAGCCATCCGGGGTCCCTAGGGCTCTGCCTCCGCCAGGGCTGCCAAGCGGAAGGCCTGCAGGGCCTGCACCAGCAACCGGGGAAGGCTTTGTGCCAGCGTGGCTGGCTCCAGACCCACCAGGCCGCCGAAGACCACGTGCCGGCCCCCCAGGCCTGCCCAAACCCAGGCTCGGAAGAGGCCGGTCAGCGTCTTGGAGCCCAGGTCTGCCAGGACCTGCAGAGGGAGGAGAGAACTCAGCGGCCCACTCTTGGTCCCCTTCCTCCTCGCCCCCAGCCCTTCCCCAGCCCCCTTCCCCAGTCCTGCACACTTTCTGCTCACTTGGACACCCCCCCAAGCTCCCCCACTCACACGTCCCCCCCACTCCTTCACACCCAGCTAGCACCCAGCTCACACACAGCCGCCCTCCTCATCCCCTTCGCCTTGGGCACCACCCACTACCTCTACCCCAGGCTGCTGGGGGAGGGTCTCTCCTGTCTCCCTCCCCATCAGGCTTTCCGAGGCCACCGCGAAGGAGTCTGGGAAGCCCGAGAACCCACCTCGTGAAAGTCCATGGCCAGGCGCTCGGCGGGGACCTGCAAGATCCAGGCATGGGTGCCCTGGAGGGCAGCCAACTTCTGCCACAGGGGCTCCAGCCCAGGGCAGCCTGCAGGAAGGGGAGAGACTTTGGGAATACGAGGGGGCTGACACTAGCACGGAACCGGGGTGGTATCCCCACCAGTGCCTCTGGTCACTTCCCAGTGGGCAGATTTCTCCTCCTGCTACAGATGGGGCGGCCGAGGGGCAGCCAAGGCTCAGAGAGCTTAAATGATAGCACAAAGCCCAGGATCTGTTGACACTGATGAGGGCCCAAAGTCACAAGCTCCCCCAAAGAATCATCCGCCCTGCTGCCAGGGAGGGGGAGAGCGGGTCTGCCCGCGGGTGAAACAGCTTCCCAGCTGCAGACCCCGGGAGAATGCCCCGCGGGCCTCGGCCCGCCCTTGGCCTACTCGACTGGCGACCGCCGGCAGGGCCGTCATTACCGTTCGCTTCCCCGCGCTGCTCCGACCTCCGCTTCGGGAACCCAGTGCCTGCCGCCCGCGATCCTGAGGAGTTGCAGGGTTAGGGGAACGCCTCGGCCGCGCTGGGGTGGGGCGGGGGCTGGGCTGCGAGGGCTTGGGGTACCTGAGTGCAGCCGCTGCTCGCGGGAGGGGTGCCTGGGAGGATCCCGGAGCGACGGAGCGGGCCGAGCCAGGGCCGGGGCCAGGGGCCGCGCCCCCGGGCGCGGGCCGAACAGCTCCTGGGCGCCCCGCAGCAGCTCCAGTAGGGTGTGCACCAGCGAGCGCAGCTCTGCGGGCGCGACAAGGGTCCGAGCGGCTGTCAGACGTGGGCCAGACCCTCGGGCCCCCGGCCCAGCCCCAGGAACGGGACTGACCACATCGCCGCCGGCGCTGCAGGCACTGCTGGTGCGCCAGGCGCACACAGGCACCCGCGGGCCCCGGGCACAGGTGGGCGTAGAAGGCACAGGGCGGGGCGGCATCTGCCAGCGGCTCCTCCGACGGGTCCCAAGCCAGAAGCTCCCTGCAGCTGGGCTCGCGGCTGAAGGGGGTGGCTGCGAGGGGCGTCAGGGGCTAGCCTACTCCACCCCCGCTTCCCCTCTTTAGGCCCTAGCCCCCAAAGCCCTCCCCGGGAGGAAGATAGGCTTTCCCGGCGCAGGAGGCTGGGGACGGGCAGGGTGGAAAGGCGCTCTTCCCAGGGCAGTTTGCCGGGCACTCTGGGGAGCGGGGGAATAAGGACGGGGCGCTCACCGCTCATCTGCTCCTGGAGCCAGTCCTTGAACACAGCCACACGGGTGTAGACCCCAGGCTTCCCTGGCTCCCCGCATCCGTCCCCCCAGGAGGTGACTCCGTACAGGACCTCCCTGGGGCGGGGGCCAGGCTCAGAACAGGTCAGGGGGCCTCCAGAGTCACCCTGCGAGGATCCGAGCCAAGAGAGAGGGCACTGCATCGATCCACGTCACCCTCAATGACAGCCTTATGCCTGGCAGGGTAAAGCAGCTCTGAGCTCTACTGGGGTTACCACTTTTGGACCCATTTTAGAGATGAGGATATAGAGGCTCAGAGAAGTTGAGTGACAGCCTGATTGTAGAAGGAAAGGAGGCCATCCCGCCCCTGAGGAGTGGCCCACTACTACCCTCCGATCAGTCGGGGCTCATACCTGGCACGAGTCAATGCCGCCGGCCAGGTAGCCGGCACAGAGCATGCTGCTGGGGCGCAGCCCTGGCCCCAGGGCCCTTCTGCAGGTGTCGGCGCTGAGCAGGGGCACACGGGCTTCCCTCACCGCCTCAGCCTCAGGCCCGTCTACAGGGAAGCAGTGGAATGGGCTCAGGCCTAGAGGGCATGGGTTCTGCTTCGAAGGTCTCCCTCCCCCCACTGCCCTCCTTGACCCCCCCCCCCACCTTTGCGAGATGGGCAGCGTTTTGTGAAGACAGCTGGGTGTAGGTCAGAATTCTTACACCCCAGCCTTCCCAAACTCCATCACCCCAGCCCCCCAATCTTCCCACGCACACGTGCGGCTCACCCAGGCCCTGCCCTGCCTAGTACCTTCGAAGAGGGCACCCCAGCCCGCGATGGCGCAGGCGGTGCCTGCGGGGGGCTCCTGGGGCTCTTGGGGCAGGCACACGGGGCGCGCCGCCCCTGTCGGGCTCACCGGCGTCCACAGCTGCACCAGGGCCAGGTCGTTGTGGAAGGTCCGAGGGTCAAACTGGGGAGGGGGTGGCGGCGCAGCGTCAGCGCGGGTTGGGGTGGGATGCTGTTCCCAACTCCGAGGGCCTGGGGGCTGCCCTCTCACCTTGGGGTGGGGCAAGATGCGGTTCACCGGCACCTCCTCCGCCTGCTCCCCCCGGGGCCCCTCGGCCAGCGTCACCGTCCACAGAAGCTCGTTCGGGGCGCTGCGGGGCGAGCGGCGGGAGACACGCAGCACGAGGATGCAGAGAGGTTCCCTGGAGACCCTGCCCTCCGCCCACAGGCACCACCCAGCGAGCCCGCGCGCCGGGCTGTTTCTCCGCCAGGGGTCCGGGATGGCGGGCCCAGGAGAAGCCGCGACGCCGAGTGGGGAGAAGGCCCAGGACGGTGGGTCCCCGGAGAATCCGCGCCCTGGATGGGCGGCCTGGGCGCCTTGAGGCGGGAAAGGGGACGGCCGCCGCCAGGGGGCAGCAGAGACCGGTCCTCGCGCTTGGTGCCCGCCAGCCGACCCCGGAAGAGCTGGACCCCGCATTGGGGATACGGTCTGGACAGGGGCCTGGGGCCCGACGTACCCCGCGAAGCAGTGTGCCGCCGTGAGCACCCAGGACGCCGCCACCAGGACGCCGCCGCACAGAGGCTGCCCGCCGAGTTGCAGCCTCACCAGCCAGGGCCAGGCCCCGGGCGGTGCCGCGCTGCCCCCCACAATGCGGCCGTGCGCCCGCGTCACGTTGACAGCGCCCGGGCGCCTCTCGCCACACGACCCTAGAAAGGCCGAAGCGGCGTCAGGAGGGACGAGTCCCGCTCATCCTCACCACTGAGACCCCTCCAGGGTCCACCCTGCTCTCAGCCCTGCCCGCCTCGAGCCTTTTCAGCCTCACCTGGCTCAGGTGGATCCTGGAGGAGGGGGGCTCGAGGCCCGGGACGCCCAGGTGCTGCTGAGAAACAGACCCCTGAGCCTCACGGACGGCCTTCCACTCTTCCCCAGCCCAGGCTGGGCCCGAGCCCTCCAGCCACCTCACCCGGCACCCCCTGCACACACGCACCACCCCCCCCCTTACCCTGCCCAGTAGCACTCAGGGTCTGGTTCAGCTGCCACAAACTTCTCACTGCTCAGCAAATAAGCCCAGACTTATTTGTTCCTGCCCTCCTGTCTTTGCACACGCTGTGCCCGTGCCTGGTGTGCCCTTTCCACTTGAAGAGACCTTCCTGAGCGTCATCTTGGTTGCAGCCTCACCCAGTCTCTGTCCCCAAGAGGGGGTCAAGTCTGAAGGGAGGGGGCGGGGTGGACAGGAGAACGGGCCCAGGGTAGTCAGCGCCAGCTCACCAGGGCATGGAGGGGTGTGATTGGCACAACTTTGGCACTCATGCAGTCTGTGCTGGATCTCCATCACCACCCGATTTACTGCCCACTGGGCGCTCCTCTGGGCAGCCTGCAACACTTTCGTCCCCTGGGCTGACAGAGCTGCTAGGACATGGGGCACAAGTCATGCACCGTGGGGGAAGAGCTCCTCCGCCTCGCCCCAGCCCTGTGCCCTGCCTTGGGAGACCCAGTGGGGAAGTAGGTTGGGCTCCATGAGCCCTGGGACAGAATGGGGAGGTCAGAGAGCCCCACGGTCCCAGGCCCCAGCACACAGAGCAGATGGTCTCAGATCCTCAGCCCGAGGTATCTCTGTAATTTCAGCTGAGCTGGGCTGGAATCTTTGCAAACGGCTTTTCCTTAGAAACCTTGAAAAACAGCACCCCAAAGGTATAGATATTACAGAACTCAGGCTTACTGACACAAAATAACCATGGCCGAGTTGCCCACCTTGGGGTCCAGATAGCCAAGGGGATGCCCCCCTGGGCCCCTTCCTCCCTGCTAAACCCAGAACCTTCTGGAAAGCACGCCTTTGGGTAGTGCTTGCCGGCTCCCCTTCCCCTTCCACCCTCGTCCTCCCCTTTCCTCTCCCACCTGTGTCTCAGTGCCTGGCCCCTTCTCCCAGCAGGGTGGGCAGAAAGGGCCAAAGGTCCTTGTGAGTTGGGAGGGCAAGCTCACGTCCCCCTGCCCGAGACCCACTTGCTCTGTGCTCCTCCCACCTCGGCCTCTCCCTCAGAGCAGCCTGGGCTCACCTTGCAGGGTGCTGGGGGGCACGCGCGTGTACAGTGGGTGCCCGTGGGCAGGCCGCGGGTCTGGGAGGGGCAGCAGCAGAAGCAGCAAAGCCAGCAGCATGGTGACCGGGGCCCCGGCAAGCGGCCCTGTGCTCTTTCCCCCTCGGGGTTCACCCTCCAGACGTTATCCTTTGGTGCCTGCCCCTGGGCTCTGAGTTCTTGTTCCTCAAATCATCTGATTCTATTCATTTACATCAAAATGACCGGCTTCCCTTGGTCTGTTCCTCACCTGGCCCTTAACTCCCAGGAGCCCACAGGGGAAATGGGGCTTGGGGGGCTATATAGAGGACAGACT